AAGCATTCTGACCACTTCTTTAATTTACTAAGGTTATTTTAAATTTTGCTTTTTACCAGTAGGCTGATGCTGGCCCTACCACTCCTCCAGGGAGGAAATGACTAATGTGTTCTGAGTTTTTTTCATGCCTGTGCTGAGTTTGAGGGCATCTTTATGGCTTGCAAACTTTATGGCCTGAATTATTAACTGCCACTCCTGCAGCTTCTTTTCCGTGCTGGGGGATTTTTCTGTATAGGTCATGCCTTGATCATCATCTCTCTGGCCTTCATCACATGTTAAGAGAATTAATTCCCTGGTGTTTCATATGATAGCTCAAACTTTCATAGATGTTAATAGGCTATTTCTAAGTTAATATGTGCAGACAACAAGAACTTAATCTTTTAGATTCAAAATCAGTGCTGCAATTTTTGTTTTTGTTTTTTTAAGTTCTTGTATATATTGTATATCCCAGAGCCTATTTTGGCCCCCAGGAGTATGTGAGCCTGTGGGATGTCAGGTTCTAATTTTTAACCCATGCATTGCACAGGGCAAGGGCAAAACCAAGCGTTGATTGGGAGAAAGAGTTAACATACCGAGAGAGTAATCTCCTCCTTGTCTGAGTTACAGTGGATGATGGCACTTCATCTTTATTCCTTTTGCCTCACCCTTGATTCTTTTGTAAGTGTTGTTACAGACATTTGCATCTAAATCTTGTTTCCCCTAGAAAAACTACAGTCCTGTTGAGGACAGGGATTGGTGACTGATAGAATCGGACCTGAGTACCACCTTTTGAATAAGCCCACCCACCATCTCAGAGACCTAGGTGTCAGCTTCCCTAGGCTGCAAGCATCCTCCAGAGACACGTCAGCAAGCCACAAGCCCACCTTTCCCCTGACCCCTCCCCTGAAAAAGCCCGCCCAAAACCCTGGCCATAAAAAGCCTCTTGATCTGTTAGAGATCCTCTCCTTTGTTCTGCTGCCCGGGACAGAGGGGTCTCCTCTCAGGTTCAGCAGTAAACCTGCTTGGGCTGTAGAGTTCACATAGCCCCTCTCTTCTTTCATCTATCCCCTCTTTTTCTTTAACCTATCAGTTCTGCCCCTTTCAGTGACTAATCTCTCTCTCTTTCACACACAGTATCTTACATAACCTCTTACATCAGCCAATGCTCAATAAATATTTGTTGATTGAGCGAACAATGAAAGGGCTCATACAATTCAAGAGAGTTTAGTCCCAAACTGGATTTTTTTTCTTCTTAGTAAGGTAATTTAATTTTAATCGAACTCTTTTTTCTTTCTAATTAGGAACTTTAATTGATTTAAATGGTAAAAAAAAAAAAAAAGAAAAAATCAATTGGAAATCTAGAAATAAAGTTGTTTTTGTAGAAAAGGAGAAACCCTTGTGGATTTTCTTTACAAAACACTCAAATCAGTTTTAAGCAAGTGTAAGAGAAGTCATGTGTTCACCTGCCCCCCTCAAATCTGGACAAAATGTTTAGAAGTATCCAGAAGGCAGCTCCAATAGTTCCCTGTGGTACTAAAGCAGTGAGCACTATATGCCTGCATCCCATTAGCTCCAAACAACTGATTATGAGCAAAAAAAGCATATGCAAGCAAGTATTCTGGATAAAGCACACATTAAAAAATGAACAAGACAGTTTACGAAAAACTAGGTTGAATTCAACATATAAATTGGATACTTTATTTTAGTGTCACTGCACATGTGGAAAGCTATTGTTTGCAATAATGGCTATTATAGTTGCTCTTGATTCCTGTTAATAAATAACTCTTCATGTGTCAGGCATGAAGCTAAACTATGCACTGTGCCCAAAAGGATGAATTTAGCCCAAAAGTCCATCCCAGTACTACTCAGGTCTACAGCTTGACATTTTTTCTATGAAATCTATAAAAAATCTCAGCTAATATAAAATTAATCTTCAACTTTTGATGAGAAAAAATATATCAACATATAAAAATAATTACTTAACTACTTATCATAATGCAGTTTGACATGTTCACTGAAGGTCTGCCCCAGGGTTGGTATTTCATGTGTTATGTGGAATGTAGAATAAGGGAAGAAGAAATGAAGATATTGTGAGCAGTAGTTTCTGCAACACCTCTTGGCTGGACATGCAGTCTTTTTAGACATGCAGGCTCACCAGGGTCCAGTCCTGAGCTTCACCAATCAGCTTTGGAGGACAGCAAAAGCCTGAGCCCATTGCCTGGTGGGGTCTGGAATGATTTCTGCAATTACGGACCCTGTAGGTAGAAATAAAATTTGAAAGTTTCTAGATAGAAATTTGGAAACTGGGGTGTCCACTAGGTTGCAAATTCTTCCTACCCCCTGCAGAGCTGGACCAGCCTAAAGAAATCAACTGTAACAAACAAAATATAAACCTTACCCAACTACTAAATACAACTATCACTTACTCAAATTTTATTGTGTTAGGCATTATGCTAAATGCTTTATATATAGGATTTCGTTTAATTCCTCACCTCTACCTTATGTGGGTTGGCATTATTATCCCTATTTCAGACTTGAAGAAACACAGGATGGAGGAGGATTAAATGACTTGTCCTAAATCACCCAACCCCAAAGTGGTGGTGATAGGTTCCAAACAAGATTGATTTCCAAGCCTGGGCCCCCCCAGTCCTCTATTCCCTGGAAGACTGGGCCCACATCTTGGTCCTGTGGCACTGGAGCAGGGACTGTTGGATTCTCCCAGAGGAGGACGCCGCCTTAAATCACTTATGAAAGGCGTCTCTTGATGAAACAAGCAAGAGGAATTTATTCAGGAACCAGCTAGCTGGGGTCTAAGTGTTAGCCCGACGCAGCGGGTCTCAACAAGGACTCTGAGCAGCTAGAGCCAGAGGTTTTTATAGCATTTTTTAAGAGGACAGTATTGTTCTACAAGCACGTAACAGGGTTTTCTATAGACACATGAATTGTCGGCTGGCGCCACATCTTGGGGGGTTCAGTGAGATAAGATCACTCTCAGAATGCTAGGGTGGGCTTCAACAAGATAAGCTTGGTATGTATGATTAACTGATTGAGGTTGGCTGACTAAAGGTCACTGCAGTCGGTGCTCATGATTGATTAACTTGTTTTTCAAGGTCTCACCCAGTTTTAGCTTTCTCTTGAGTCATACTTTTAGGAAACAGTTTCTAGGCTTTTTAAGATGGCTGTGCTTATGCTAACTTAGGATTTCTTATTAAAAACTTAGGTCCTACATTTCCCCACTTTCCCTTTGACCATTCCAATCATGGAATGTTCGTTTCTTCTTGATGTGTGAGCGAGTGATACTGTTGTCTTAGTATTAGCACTTGAACAGCACTCACTCTCTCTCTAACAAAAGATATTAGCCGGTTTAAAACACAGGGACTAAAAGTAAGAAGGAGAACAAGAATAAGCAAGGGTCCGGCTAGAGTGGATATCAGAGTTGTGAGCCATGGGGACTTAGTGAACTAAGACTCAAATAGACCCTGGCCAGCTTCTCGCTCTCTTTTTCATTGGTCTAATCTTTCTCTGAGTTTAGTCATTGAATCTCTTACTATTCCGGAATGATCTGCATAGAAGCAGCATTCTTCTTTTAGGGCCGCACACAATCTTCTTTTTTTTAAGAACAATAGATCTAGCCTTCGTCTATTCTGCAACACTACTTCAGAAAGGGAAGTTAGAGACTCTTCAAGTTTGGTAATAGATTGTTCTATAGTTTTCAAATCTTCATCAATAGCTGCTCTCAGTCTCTCATAGTGTTGGTTCCCTTGGATGATGGCGGCTGTCCCTGTTCTTACTCCTGCTGCAACTCTTATTTTTAATAACATGGCTAGGGTCAGCGAGACTAATTCTCTTTTATACTTATGTCTAGGGTCGAACTCTGTTACAAATGAGAGATCATCATGATACATTAGTCTAGGCACTAGTTGGACTATAATACAGAAATCACAGGAGGAATTGAAATCAGAGGTGGAAACACACGGGGTTAGTCCAGTGTTACAAGCTTACTATCTCTGAGGGGGAGGGACTAGATATCTGTTTTCACTTGAGGAGACTATGGGTATGGTTTCATTATACAAATTTTTATGGGTTGAGGGAACTGTTCTTAAACATTTCTCTTTTCCAGTTACTTCGGTTAGGGTTAGCTTCTTGTGGCTGCCCCAGCTACAGACTTCATGGCTGGTTGTATTGTTGAAACTACCCGACAGTCTTAAACTTTTATAATAAGGAGGTCTAGAAGAGAAACATAACTAACAGGATTCGGTGACTTTAGGGTTAGAGACATTCAGAACTAGAAACACCCCTCGATGAGGTTGAGGAGGCGCTGTCCGGTGCTAGTAAAAGAAATTACTTGGTTAGGAGCAGATGCGGAGGGCTGGGGGCGAGTAGTCATAATGATGGGATACTGTTTCGGAGTAGGGGTTGGAAGACGCAGCTGATCTCGTAGGACAGTATTAGGTCTTATTGGGGCGGCTGGGAGGGCCTGGACACTGAGTCGAACTCGTAGAAGGACTTCAGTTGGGGGTGTCTGGTGGAGATACAACTTCTAAGTTAACTCTCTTGTTCCTCATCAGGGATCTTTCTTTCCCTGTTCTGTAAATTGGAGTCTAAGTAAGTTACAATCGGGGCTATACTTTACTCGAGTACATGGTCTAACAAAGGAGAGGTGGATAAGCTGCGAGGCGTGGGTAAGCTGCGGGTTCACATCTTACTTTTTTTCTCCATCATTGGAGGTGACACAGCTCTATTGTGCACAGTAGACGGACTCAATTCCCTTACACTTCTGTTTCTCTACTCCCGTTCGAAACCCTGGGCATGCATAAAATTTATTCTTACTCACAGAGACCCGGCGTTGCTTTTTCCGCCAGTCTCTTTTACCTATCCCGTCTATGTCAGCTACTTTATCTAAGTTAAAATATAAGTCCGGGTACTATGTGCCCAAAGGGGCAATATGGGTGGTGTGATTATACTCTTCTTGGGTCTGCCCATTTCTTACTTTCCAGGTAAGCAGATAAGGGACATGAGGATTAAGGCTCTGGGGGGTTGGGAACAGCAGGAGCATTAGAATTACTAATAACATAGTTTTTTTTTTTACACAAGCGATGCTTAAGAGGATTATCAGTCTGAGTTACTCGCCAATCCGAGTCCGGCTGGGATGCCTTTTTCAGATGTGAAGCGTGTACCCAGGAGGAGATGCCATCTACTTTCACGGCTGTGGGAGTAGTCAAGAGGACGATGAAGGGTCCTTTCCACCGAGGCTCAAGGTTTCTTGCTCGGTGTCGTCTTACATAGACGGGGTCTCCCACCTGGAACTGATGGGGCACTGACAAGTCCTCCGGCCGATAGGCTTCCTGGATGTTGGCCCAGACTTCTCTCTGTACGACTTCCAGGGCCCGTAACTTTTCAAGCAGAAACTTATTAGTTACACATTCGGGGGACTCATGGAGGTGGGCCGACTCAAGAGGAGCTGGGGCCCTAAACATTATTTCAAAGGGAGTCAGCTCAAAACGGCCGGGAGTGTTTCGGACTCGAAACAAGACGAAGGGAAGGAGGACTAACTAATCACATAAACTAGTCTCTATGGATAATTTAGTCAAGGTCTCTTTTAGAGTTCTATTCATCTTCTCTACTTGTCCTGAGCTCTGGAGCCTGTACGCACAATGTAGTTTCCAATCTGTCCCCAGGATCTTGGCCAATCTTTGACTTACCTGGGCAACGAAGGCAGGTCTATTATCGGAACCAATTACCTTGGGGATTCTGAACCTTGGAAATATTTCTTCACGTATCTTTTTGAATACTGTCTGGGCTGTCTCGGTCTTGGTTGGGAAAGCCTCTGTCCATCCTGAAAAGGTATCTAAAAAAACTAAAAGGTACTTATGTCTATACTTAGCAGGCTTAATTTCGGTAAAGTCAACTTCCCAGTAAGCTCCCAGTCTATCTCCGCAAAGCTTTTTTCCGCATATCATTTGATGTTTATTCATATTTACTAATTGGCAAGGGACACAATTCTTCACTACCTCGTCTGCCATTTTTTCTAAACTAATGATATGATAAGGGGAGTGTCGAACTAGGGCCTTTAGGTTCTTGGCCTTTAAATGTGTCAATTGATGTAATTGCCTCAAATATTCTCCTGCCTCTTTCTGGGGCAGAATATTTTTCCCATTTCTTGACTTATATGTTTCAAAGGGTGAAGATTTTTGGAACCTCAGTTTGTCTATCTGAGCGAGATCTTCGGGTGTATACTGGAAGCTCTTGATACATGTTGCTTCCGGGTGCACCTGGAGGGGTAAAATGTTCATTCCCTGAGCTGCTTGTTTTGCGGCTTGGTCCACCCTCCGGTTTTCTTGAGCTATTGGAGAGTCATCTTTCTGATGTCTAGGGCAATGTATTATCGCTACTTCTTTAGGCCTATGGATGGCTTCTAACAATTCTAAAATTTCTTGTTTGTTTTTAATATCTTTCCCGGCAGAAGTTAACAGCCTTCTCTGCCTATAAATAGCCCCATGTATATGAGCGGTGGCAAAAGCGTATCGGCTGTCAGTGTAGACGTTAAGTCTCTTACCTTCTGCCATTTTTAGAGCCTGAGTCAAGGCAACGAGTTCTGCTCACTGTGCAGAAGTGCCCGTTGGGAGTCCGCTGGCCCACACGATCCAGTTGTTATCTACTACTGCAGCTCCCGCCATCCTCTTACTTCTCATGATATAACTGCTCTCATCTGTGTACCAGGTCAGGAGTCCTGGTCTTTCCAGGGGCTGATCTCATAAGTCCCGGCAGGTCCCTGTCTCTTCAGCCAGGATTTCTTGGCAGGTATGGAGTACTTCTTTCCCCGGATTGGGGAGCAGAGTAGCCGGGTTTAGGATGGCGGGCGGGGCAAATTTTACACGATCGTGATTTAGGAGCAAGGTTTGATAGTGAGTCATTCTGGCATTCGACATCTATCTTTCGGGTGGTTGCCAAATTACGCTTTCCAGCGCATGTGGAGCAACCACAATGAGCTTTTGTCCCAGCGTTAGTTTGTCAGAATTTTTAACTAAGAGGGCCACGGCCGCCACTACTCTCAAACAGGCAGGCCATCCGCTACTCACTGGGTCCAATTTCTTTGACAAGTAGGCGACAGGTCTCCTCCAAGGTCCCCATTGTTGGGTCAACACTCCTCGAGCCACTCCACTCTGTTCATCTACAAAAAGGACAAATGGCTTAGTCACATCTGGCAAGGCCAGAGCGGGTGCCGACAGGAGGGCCTTCTTGATATCATCAAAGGCCTGCTGTTGTTCAGGTCCCCAAACAAATGGGGCCGCCCCTTTGGTTAAGGGATACAGAGGGGCGGCTAAGGTGGCATATCTGGGTATCCACAGTCTACAAAATCTTGCTGTCCCCAGGAACTCGTGAACCTGACGCGGAGTAGTGGGGACCGGGATCTGCGTTACAGTCTGCTTTCGGGCTTCAGTAAGCCACCTTTTCCCCTCTCTCAGGGAATATTTCAAATAAGTCACTTGTTGTTGACAAATCTGTGCCTTCTTGGCAGATGCCCTATACTCCAATTTAGCAAGTTCAGTCAAAAGAGCTCTAGTGGCCTCTTGGCAGGCTTCCTGAGTAGGGGCTGCTATCAGTAAGTCATCAACATATTGTAACAAAGTTACCTGTGGGTTGGAGGCTTGGTAAAAGGCCAAGTCTTGATGTAAAGCCTCATCGAAGAGGGTGGGTGAATTTTTGAATCCTTGTGGCAAGCGAGTCTAGGTCAATTGTCCAGTAGTTCCTGTGGAGGGGTCTTTCTATTCAAAAGCAAACAGCGGTTGGCTACTCTGGTGCAGGCACAAACAAAAGAAGGCGTCTTTTAAATCTAAGACTGTATACCAGGTGTTTTCCGGGGCCAGAGAGCTTAGCAGGTTATAAGGGTTCGGCACAGTGGGATGAATGTCCTGTATCCTCTTATTAACTTCTCTTAAATCTTGCACTGGTCGATAATCTCCTGTTCCCGCTTTCTTTACAGGCAGCAAGGGAGTGTTCCATGGGGATTTACATTTTACTAATATCTCCTGCTCTATGAGCCTCTGGATATGGGGCCTAATTCTATCTCTGGCTTCTTTACTCATTGGATATTGTCTCACAGTTACTGGTAAGGCTGAGGCTTTCAATTCTATGACCACTGGGGGCTGGTTTACAGCAAGCCCCATACCCGCCGTCTCCGCCCAGGCCCCTGGAAACTGGTTAAGCCACCCCTGACTAACTCGGGAGGGTTCTGGTTCCTTAAAAAGGCGGTACTCGTCTTCTAATCTTATGGACAGAATACTTAGGCCCAAAGGTTTTTTCTCTCGATCAGTCACTCGGGTATCTTCAGCCTGAAAGGATATTTGGGCCCCGACTTTGGTCAAGATGTCTCTTCCTAACAAGGGTGTGGGGCATTCCGGTATGACAAGGAATGAGTGGTTTACTTGTCCCACTCCTAAGTCCACTGTTCTTTGGGTAGTCCATGCATATTGTTTCTGGCCCATGGCCCCGAACACCCAAGACTTTTTGCCAGAAAGAGGGCCTCTAGCTTGGGTCAGTACAGAATGTTGAGCACCGGTATCCACCAGAAACTCAACGGGTTGCTCCTCCACCTTCAGGGTTACCCTAGGCTCGGGGAGGGGCTCCGAGTCCCGTCTTCTCTAATCCTCATCTTCCAGCAGAGACAACACCTTCTTCGGAGGTCCCCGCGGTGGCTTCTTAGGGCATTCTTTCACCCAATGCCCCTTTTCTTTGCAGTACGCACATTGATCCTTCTCTAAAGGGGTCCGGTTGCCCAGGTGCCCTGTCTTACTAGTTCTGCCACTAGGAGGTGGGCGTCCTCTACCTTCTACTACTGCGGCCAAGATCCTTGTTAAATTCTTCTCATGCTTCCTGTCTCTCTTTTCTTCCTTACTTTCTCTTTCCTTCTCTTTCCTTAACTCTTTCTCTTCCTCCATCTCCCTCTTGTGATACACTTTCTCAGCCTCCTTCACCAAATCCTTCAATGACAAATCTTGTAAGCCCTCTAATCTCTGAAGCTTTTTTCTAATGTCGGGTGCCGACTGTCCAATAAAAGCAAGGGCCACTGAAGCACTATGCTCTTCAGAAGTGGGATCAAAGGGAGTATACCGCCTGAAGGCTTCCATCAGGCATTCTAAGAACACTGCAGGTGCTTCAGTGGCTCCCTGACTGACCTCTCTTACCTTGGCTAAATTGGTGGGGCGTCTTGCGGCCCCACGGAGACCTGCCACCAGAGTCTGGCGATAGATGGTTAGTCGCTCCCTACCTTCTGGAGAATTAAAGTCCCAGTTGGGTCTGGTCAATGGGAACCCCCTCTCTATGTCACGAGGGAGTTGCGATGGTCGCCCGTCGGTTCCAGGCACGTTCCTTCGTGCCTCCAGGAGAATCCTCTCTCTCTCTTCCGTAGTGAAGAGCACCTGCAAAAGCTGCTGACAGTCATCCCAAGTGGGCTGGTGAGAAAACATCAGGGACTCTATCAGACCAGTTAGTCTTTGCGGTTCCTCTGAAAAGGGCGGGTGGTTAGCTTTCCAATTATACAAATCGGCAGAGGAAAATGGCCAATATTGCAGAGGTTGGAAAGGCGGGTCCCCCTCTTCCCCGTGGATGGGAACTCCATAAGACCGGAGAGGGTAAATACCCGGTGGATCCAAGGTGGTCCCCCGGCAGTGCCGAGTTCCCTGGGCAGGTCCCGGAGCCAGTCCCGGTGCCTCGGCATCAGGGACTGAAGGTGCCGGAGGTGCCGGGGCTGGCAATGCCGGGGCCGGAGGTGCCGTAGGGGCAGGAGGGTAAGGAGGGGGATCATCAACTATAAGCAAATCTTGAGTGTCAGGGTGAACTTTAGTAGTAGTGTCTTTTTCTTTGCCCTGAGGTCGGGTCTGGGCAGCTAGAACTTGAGGGCCCACTTTCTTCTGCACCCAAGGCTTTACCCAGGGCGGTGGGTTTTCTACCAACTCTTGCCAGACTACAATGTAAGGTTGCTGCTCCGGGTGTCCTTGAGATGAATCCTGGAAGACAACAGCCTTTACCACTAGTAAAGTGGGGAGATCAAAAGTCCCTTCCAAGGGCCATCCAACATTGAAGGTGGGCCACTCGGAGGTACAGAAAGTCTGCCATGGTCCTTTCTTCACTTCTACTGACAAGTTATGTGCCCTTGCCCTTACTTCCGTCCAATGATCTAACGTCAGGCTAAGGGGGGTCGTCACTGTCTGTCCCAATGTCAGTACAACAATTATTAGGTACGTGAAAGACACAAAAAACAAAGATACACACAAATTAGACACACAGCGGCCGCTTTTTGTTTTCTTCAAATTTTCAATCAGAAACCAAAAGGAATCGGAGGGTTGATACTCCTGGCGCCCGAAAATCAAACCTATCTCATCAGATTCACCTTGCCGGAAAAACAGGTGAGAGGCCACCAGGCGTCCCTGGCCCTCCAATCTCCCCGAGGCGTCCCCCAGGGTTGCAGCCTGTGGTACTCCGAGTACGTCTACCGACCGCAGTCTCAACCCCTTTACGGGATCGGGACGACTGCCAGATAGAGGGTACCCTTTTCAGAATTTCGACCGGTCTCACTGGAAAATAGAAAACAGAACACAGACAACTCAAGGCGCCACTAATCTTACTTCTTCCTCCAAGAGCGGCCTTGGGAGTGAAGCGGGGTGAGCGCAGATCCCAGATGAGCCCCCAAATGTTGGATTCTCCCCAGAGGAGGACGCCGCCCTAAATCACTTATGAAAGGCATCTCTTGGTGCAACAAGCAAGAGGAATTTATTCAGGAACCAGCTAGCTGGGGTCTAAGTGTTAGCCCGATACAGCGGGTCTCAACAAGGACTCTGAGCAGCTAGAGCCAGAGGTTTTTATAGCATTTTTTAAGAGGACAGTATTGTTCTACAAGCACGTAACAGGGTTTTCTATAGACACATGAATTGTCAGCTGGCGCCACATCTTGGGGGGTTCAGTGAGATAAGATCACTCTCAGAATGCTAGGGTGGGTTTCAACAAGATAAGCTTGGTATGTATGATTAACTGATTGAGGTTGGCTGACTAAAGGTCACTGCAGTCGGTGCTCATGATTGATTAACTTGTTTTTCAAGGTCTCACCCGGTTTTAGCTTTCTCTTGAGTCATACTTTTAGGAAACGGTTTCTAGGCTTTTTAAGATGGCTGTGCTTATGCTAACTTAGGATTTCTTATTAAAAACTTAGGTCCTACAGTACTGCCTTGAACCCCAAGCTGTTTGGCAGAAAACTCGGGACCTACTCATTCTAACTCCATCTTTTCCCAAAATGTGCTACTGGCAGAGTTGTCCTGTATGATGAGCTACAGAAAAATGACTCTGAGAACAAAAAAATGGAGAAATGTTGCAAACAGAAATCCCCTCATGGAGATTCATATCTGGTAGCATCTTAAAAGCTCAGGGAAGTCTTCTATTAAAGAAACAATATCTAACTCAGGGTTTCCCAAATATATTTGAATACAGAACCCTTTTGTTCACATAAAATCTATTTATAACCATGGAACTTTATATTTTGCAAGACCCATGTCAGAAAATGGCACCTTAGAACATTTCCTAGGCACCCCTCTCAAGAATGGCTCTCTTTTTGGATTCTTGCTGTTATGGCTTAACAATTCTTATTCTGTTATCTTTTTGGGAATCACACTACTAGAATCAAGGTGGATTTTGCTGCATCCGTTTGGACAAAAGGCATTTTTCTAAAGGGGTCAGTTCCCAGGTCTACCCCCATTCAGATCCTACGCCCTTCTTCCCGTGACTTCAGGTCGCTGGGATCCCAGACACAGGAAGACCAACTCCATTGACATTACAGCACACACAGATGTCAAGATGAAAGAGAAAATAAGAGAGATGGTTGGAACAAAGAAAAATAGCATGAAAAGGAAGGTGATTGGATTTTCTTCTTTGAAAGCTCAATCTCCCCTTCCTTAGTGACATGCAATAACATTCAGAATGTATTTACAAACTTTCCTGTTGTTGAACAACTCCAAAATACTTAATGAACTGTTTTAGCATATAGAATTGTAGATTACAAGTGAGAAAAATTCTCATGCTTCTGTGACAGGGATTCTGTGACAGGGATGTCCATGCAATGAAAAGAGTTCTATCATTCAGCACAGGACTGACTATCTGAAGAAACTCTAAGTAGTTTGTGGGTAAAATTGAAACATTTCCAGAATATCTTGCCTGGCTTTAGTGTGGTGGAAAGAAGTATGGCTTTAGTTCATTTGCATCTTTCCTCAGGGGTGGAGAAATTCATCTCCATATCAATGGGTGATTACCTGGACAACAGAGGGCTTATCTGTACCTGAGAGGTAAGGGGATGGCCGGTGTGGTTGCTGCTGGAGCAGAGAAGAAAAACAGCCTGGGACTGCAGTTTGTAAGCAATAAACGGGTTTTAAACTTTACTTCTCCCTTTGGCTGATTTTGGTTCTTAGAGGTATTTTGCCCTGGGATTTCCTTCCGCCTGACTGACATAGGTGATTATTCATAAAACAAATATTTATTCAGCACCTACTAAATGCCACATTTTTTTCTATGTAATTAAACAAACAGGTAAAAATATTGAATATTGAAAAGTGATCAGTACTATGGAAAACCAGAATTAAGAAGTTACATATAGAGGACCAGAGGGGGGTATGAATTTAACTTTCATCCTTTTTTCTTCCTCCCATGCTTTTTCGGCCTATGACTCCTAGAGTTTCATCAGTCTTTATTAATAGTTTCTTTTAAAAACACAGATATTTGGTATTCAGAAAAATATAAGTAAGGAAGCAAAAGTGATCTGAAGTCTTACCACACATTACTTTTTGGGTGAAAATTCCACAATATGTCTATGCATATGTAAGTAAAATTGTAACATTTCCAGAATATCTCGCCTGGCTTTAGTGTATTTGCATAACCTCAGAGGTGGGGAGTTCATCTCCATGTCAATGGGTAATTACCTGGGCAACTGAGGGCGTGTCTGAACCTGCGAGGTGACAAGGAGTAGGGGGCTGGCTTGCTTGCTGGCTTCGTCTAGAGCAGAGGAGAAAGACAGCCCGGGATTCCAGTTTGTGAGCAAAAAACGGATTTTAAACTTTATTTCTCCCTTTGACTGATTTTGGTTTTTAGAGGTATTTTGCCCCGGGATTTCCTCTCCTCAGACTTACAGCATATAAACACGTATTTGCAATTTTTCAAAATAGCATCATGCAGTATATAGTGCTTTATCACCTCCTTCTAAATAGTATTTTTATGCACTTTTTTTTTTTTGGCCTTTAAGAAACTATTCTTAGAGGTACTCCATCATGTTTTCAAAATGATATAAAAATGTATACATTAAAAAAATTTCACTCCTATGTTTGCGCTAATCCACCCTTTTCTCCTCCCTAATAGAAATGGGGGAGCATCTATGCATCCTTCCAGTATTACTTTGTGTACATAGAGCAGGTACAGACTTATATTCTTATTTCTCCCTCTAGTTACACAAAAGGTTACATACTATACACTGTTTTACACTTTGGTTTTTTTACTTAACCTAGGGCCATCTTTCCCTATTAGCACATAGGGGTCATTTTCAACTTCAGGCACTGGTTGTGCAGATGTACCATTGCTTATTTAACTGCTCTGCTATTGATGGTTATTTGAACTCAGTTGACCTCAAACCCAAGGTAATGTGACCTGCAAAAAGAATGTGTCTGAAACAAAATTTAAGGGATGAAGCTAAATTTTTTCCTTGAAATTATAATTGAAGTCAATGGGAAAAGATGTTCCACAAAACTTCTGATGAAGTTATCTATAGCTTCTTTAAACATTGAGGATCTCTGGGTAAATGTTTATGAATGGGAAGATTTGTTCTCTTCATGTTTATTTCCCATGTTATGAGCAGCACAAATTTGTAGTAAAACATTTTTAAAAAGTACTTCACAGATTTATTCTGGTTTTGAATATTTAATAATTGTCTATCTGGTCCATTGTAACATAAATCTATTTGGACACTGAAAGGAAAGGAGCGACACATAGCAGCAATTCACCGGAGAGTACCTCTTTATTAGGGAAAGGTGCTGGGTTATATAGGAAGGAGCATGAATTGATTGAGGTGTCACTTCTACGGGGCTGTTGGCTGTTGGCTAGGTGCTGGGATTGGGAGGGGGGCGAGAGGTGATTGGGCTTCAGGTGGGGCCGGCGGGAACTGAGGACCCCGAAGAGAAGCCGGAAGTTTGCCATCTTACTGGTGGGGACCCTTCAGACACAAATGGTAAAATCAGTTTAAGATTCTACATCCGGTATTTCTATTGCAATTTTTTTCATCAACTTCATTTCCAAAAGGATAAAAATTAATCATTTAAGTGTCAGTATAAGATTATTCCTCAAAATAGTTTATGTTTTGGGAAAGGTGAGTCATGAAAGGTAACATAAAATGAACGGATACCATATGTCAGGCACATCCAAAACTTAGCTCACAGGACCCTCACAAATCTGTAAGATGTTATTATTCCCTTTTACAGATAAACAAATAGGATCAGAGAGGTAAAAGACTATGCCCGAAGTTACATGTCTATTAGGTTTAAGAGCCAGGATTCAGCCCTTAGAGTTTCCCTCTCAGTCTGGTACTTACCAATGTATTACCCTGGCTCAAGCATGTTGATCATGCATGGCCTGTGATCATTTATCTGTTGACAATTCTTCTCAGACAAATCACTTTCCTTTATATTAAAAAAAGAAAAATCATTTTGCCACCTTTTAAATTAAGAAAAGAAGAATCATGTAAGGTTTTACAAGCTAGCAAGGAGCCTAGGTCAGCTCTCTCTCTCTCTTTTTTTGCTCTCAGGAATAGAACAGCTCTGAAAGAAAGTGATACATATTAGTAGGTTTTGGTTTCTAAAATTTAATAGTGAAATTTTTGTAGATGAACCATTGCCCTTACAAAGATAAAGAAACAGAAAGAAACAGAGAAAAATCACTCTAGAGCACAGTTTTTTTCTACCACAGAGAAACCAGATCTGGAGAGATAAGTATGTCACTGAATAAAAGAAAATAAAAGAAAAATGGGGTAATTAGAATCATATCTCCACGTCCGTATAGCAAACCATATTGAAACAGTTCCCTATTGACCAAAACACACTATCAGCAACTGTTGGGGTTGTCACTTGACACAATATGTTTTATAGAGTTACATTGGAAAAGAAGTAAAAAAAGAAAATAAGGGGTCAGGGGCATCCTGTGATTCACATATTGGAAAAATTCCAAGTATAAGGGACCTCACCCTCTCATCTAGGCTGTTGATGCATTTGTGAATTGTTTGTGCCCTGAATTTTCCTTCCCTTATTATTAGCCATCTTTCTCTTGCTCTCAGAGTTGAAGAAGTAATTTAAATTTGAGGTTCTTCATCTTGAAGTACCTCTGGTCAGCAAAGGTGTGAATGCTGTCTGTGCATAATAGTCAGGTCATTCATTTGTAAGAAATAAAGTCAAAATGATATTAATGGAAACACAGAAATATTTTATGAGCAGGACAGGTCCAGGAAGAGATGGACTCTTTTGGGTGGTGAGGGTTGTTTGATTTTAGATACTCTGGAAGAGAAGCTATTGACCCAAATTGTTAAGAAACAGAGACGAACATATAATATTAAAATCTGTGGGGAGAAGGGGTGGTAGATATTACACACTAAAGGAAAAGAAAATAGTTACTGTCTTTTCATCAGAAACAATGCAAACTGGAAGACAGGAGCTACAAGGGGAAAATGTCAGCCTAGAATTCTGTATCTAGCAAATGTGTTCTTTTGAAAGACAAAACTATTGTTCAGAAAAAGGAAGGAAGGAAGGAAGGAGGGAAGGAGGAAGGGAGGGAGGGAGGAAGGAAGGAAGGAAGAAAGGAAAGAAGGAAGGAAGGAAAGAAAATTTAGGAGCAGCAAAGGAGCACCACAAAAATGTTAAAAGTTTCTTCTTCAGCTGGTGAAAGATGATTTCTGATAACAAGTCAGCTCTATGTAAAGGAATGAAGAATACCAGAAGTAGTAAATGCATTAGTACTTATTAAGGGCTTGTTTTCTGATTTTTTATCATTTTTTACATAATTGACAAGGCATATCAAAATTAATGAGAATGTGATGACAGTTGCACAAAGGACAGGA